ATTTCAGATCTGTCCTGCCAAGAATTCCTGCTCTGGCTCTTTCATCACGTTGTCCCCAGTGAGACCACTGTCTCACATGCAGCACTGGGCACAGCTCCTTTCCTGCTGGCCCTGGGGTGCCAAGCTTGTTAGCCAGCAAATCTCTATCCTGCTGCTTAGCCTGGTCCGGCACACAGAGAGCTGGAGCTGAAGGGCTGTGCTGAAGGGTGGGTGAGTCCCTCCACCACCACACGAGCCTGTGGACCCAGGAACACCCACTGCAGGAGCAAGCATCTCTCATCACAGAGCAGCACAGGTCTACCATACCCTGACACACAGCACCTGGGGAACCAGGACTCCACTTTTATATTGCCCTGCTCCATATTTTTTTTATGGTGTCTATCAGGCCACCGTCACCTTAAGGATCAGCCAAGAATTTTTGTTTCCCATTTTGCTTACCTTTTTAAGGAGTAAAGGAGCAGGAAGGATTTTACTTTTCTCTGAGCATCAGAGATAGCAACAGCCAGAAGCAGAGTACATAGAAGCTAATGGCATTAAGTACTCATGTGCTTAATTAGGACATCCTGCCACAGGCTCGTGTTGAAACCAAATGTCAGATGAGGGTGGGAACCACACAAGTCAGGTTGTTGAGGATTTTTTTTCCCCTTTGAAGGGTAAGGTTTTGTCTACTTTCTACTACCATCCATGAATTTTATTCTACAAATGGTCTGTTTCAGCGAGATCCTAGAGTATTAGGAAAACATACAGCCTTTCCTGCTTGGCCTCTAACACAGCTGATGGTTTTTTGCAGCAGTTGCACCTTTGTCATAGGGTGCTGAAGTGTCCTTAGCTGTAAAAAGGATGTTCTGTGGGGTCTTTTGAATCAGGTGTGCATTTGCTGTCACCATGGGGGAGCTGCCTCTGAAACACAGGTGATTCCACCCAGCACTGGATGGCCACTCATAAGACCCCCACTAACGAACTGGGCTCTCCCTCCATATTTCCCTTCCTCAGCTGTAGCTGAGGTAGTTCAAACACTCCTGAAATAGTTTATCAGTTAAAAGGATTCTAGAAGGGAGGAAAAAAAAAGTGTGTTAGCCCTTCTAACATTGTATTTAGTGGTACCTCTACTTTTTGCTTTTTTCACTACTTTTAAATTTCCTTTGTCACTGCATTTCTGGTATTTTATTGCTTTACAAGTATAGCACAAGCTAGATCTCAACATACAGACCTATACAAGAACAGAAAGCGCCTGGTTTTTTTTTGTTTTTTTTTTTCCTTTTTTGACCTGTGGATGTCATTTGCAAACTTGTATTTGGGTATAAGACATTTTTCATTTAATGAATTTTACCTGCCTTAATATGAACACCTGTAAGTTTTGCCCCAAGTAGAAGCTGAAGAAACAGGAGTCTGATAGTATAATTCTAAGGAGTGGAAGTTTAAAAAGAGAGGAAAGAGAAGGTGAACGACAACAAGTATTTGTACTTCTAGCAACAGTATTCTTTAATTAAAAAAAAAAACAAAAAACACTGTAATTTCTAACACTTGAAACTTGAAGTCCTTTCTTCCAGGCAAATATCAGGGTTTTTTTCTAGATACGATCTCAGCAAGGAAATTAAAGCCCCTAGAGAAGAGAATTTTGTGGTTTTAATTGTTTCAGTCCCTGCCATGGGGTTCATGAGTGCCCAAAGCTCCAGCACGAAGTCTGTCAGAGTGATGATCGCAGCATCAGACTGTGACTACAGCCAGTCTGGAGAACAGAGGAAGACCCAGCATTTGTCCCCAGCCAAGTACTCTGAAATGAATGACTCTAATTCCCAGGGCTGTAAGTTTCAGGAAATCAGTCATTCAGAGAATATTCCAGCTATCTGAAATATATTGTTTGCTCTTAGGATAATATTTGGTATCCTGCACAAAAATGCTCAGCATAAGCTGCTAATTAATTGTAAACACATCATTCATAGCTTTGAATCAACTCCTTGGTTCCTGTAACAACTTCCATCTCAGAGAAATTAAGTTCAATTACCAATTAAAGTAAACAAAGTGCTTAACTGTAGCTGAAGTGAAGGAAACAAGACAGCACTGCGCCCCACATTTCACTTTTCAGACTTGAGGCAAATTAAGCCACAAATGAGCTTTCTCTTACTGAGTGCAGTGAGAACCAAGGCTCTGTTTAACCCTCTCTACTTTTTCCTCATTTCAAATTTATCATAAAGGGAAAAATGGTCAAAAGCATTTAATCCTCCATGTGTTTATATGCAGACAGCTCTTGCAGCAAGCAAGAAAGGCCCTGATGCTGACTTTACGCATCATTTCTAACACTGACTAGTATTTATTTCATAGCTAATAAACTACTCTTGCTGCAAATCTCCTGAGAGAAAAATAAATGTAAATGAAGACAGGCCAGTACCACTAGTTACGCATGTAAAATAGCTACAATTAAGTTACTACACATTCCCACCTCTGGGGAGGGATCATTACATGTTAACCCTGGGCATCTGCCCTCTCTCAGGCACACACATGGACTTCAACAGGTGTTTCCCTTGTGGAGCCACTGCAGGATCAGGATCCATCTCTAACAACAAATTGTATTAGCTTTAAAAGTTCCCAGAAAGCTCCTGGCACACATATACAATTCTACATGATCTTAAAGAGGTGAGTAAATGTGCCAGTGGTCCAGATATCCTAAAAAACCCACACAGGCCTCCACTGGCTTAATCATCACCACATACTCTTCCTTCCTACACTTGTTATCCATAGGATCACTCAGCCATCAAATATCCTTTACGCTATCCATCTTCCTCACCAGTATGTCAGCAACCAAATCCCCTCAGCTGCCGGGATGCTGGGCTCCAGCAGGGCGGGATCGTACTGGGTATTCATTTTCACACACAATGAAACAAACAGAAAGTCCAGCTCAGATGCAGGGAAACAGACAAGAGCGTGAACTCAGGAAATTCACACACCTCAGCACTCACAGAATTTTGAGCTAATTATTTGGACTCCAATATCACATCAAGTATCCCCAAAGGACTGACCTTATATTTGTATTAGTTGCACAACAGCCCACCACTGCTCTCAAGGCACTGTTATGAACAATCAAGCCCCAGCTGTACATAAGGACACCTCTTCAAAAGTCTTGTTCGGAAGAGGTACTAACATTTCATCCACAAGCAGATTTCAGTGATCCCATGGTTTGATCTTTAGTTTGCTATACTGAAATCCTATGTTTGGAAACAGTATTCCAGAGGATGCACCTCTTTATGACTGTCCTAACTTGCAAACCAGCTGAAAATTAAGTTAGCAAAATACAAAGGTGTTTACATTCAGAGACACTGCAGATTCTACAGCTATGCTAACCTTCTTCCTTGCCTGCACACTCACTGCATTGCTAGATAAAAATCACCCTTATTTTCTAAAGGCAAGCAAGCCGACAACCCTGATGGAAGCAGGATACTCTTCTGATGACTTTCTGTGGGACGGCTGTAGCAGTATCTTAGCACAAAATGGTCCCTTCTATATTTGAGAAGGTCTTTTGCTCAATATATGTTCATTGTAGTAAAGGTGCACCTGAAATAGACCAGTTGAGGCTACAGCTTTCCTTACAGTCCACACCGAAAAGTTTTATCTGTCAGAATCTTGAGTCTCTTTTGCAATAAGTATTACACTCAAATAAAATCTTGACGACTGTAAACCGTAAACTGCAATTTAAATAAATGACAGTTTCCTACAGTTCTATGGCTATTCTTATGCAAAACCTTGCTTTAGTTGTTTTTTCTTTCCCTCCTTTTAAAGATCTTTACTGCAGGTAAATATTACAGAGCAGTGAAAAATACAACAATTTCAGAATTTTAGATTTAATTCATTAGCAGACAAATCATAAAATCATTCTTTTCTCTGAGTCAGGCTTAAAAGATGAGCTTCTTAGGGCAAGGTAGTTTTAATCACATTTCAAAACCTCTAAAAAATCCTGATAGATTTTACAAAGTTATTAAAACCCCCTCAGGAATGAAGACCTGATCCAGTGACAGGACCTGGGTTTAGATCCTTGCTCTGCTGCCGCTGCTGAAGGCAGAGGGAGATGCCAGGAACTGGGCCCTGCTGCGCAAACATTGCCCACACAAACTCTGCAGCTCACAGAAAACACTTATTGTTGTTTTTTGTTTCCCTGCTCCATTTCTTTAATTTGCAAAATCTTATAAGATACAAAATCACAGAGGACAAATACTCAGGTTCAACTATATAACAGACCAGTGATATTTCTTCTGCATCTCCATATCATATCAAATTTAGGATTCAAAAGAATCATTGGATCATCCTAACTGCTCAGCGGGTTAGAGCCTTTATAAACACAAATTCTAAAATAATAAAGAAATTTTTTTCCTTATTGGAATAAAAAAGTATGAAAAGTACTCCAGGAAAGTAAGGGGGAAAGGCAAGCTTCCTCTTTACTGTGTTGCAATAAGCAAAGCAAACAGTTTTCAGAAGCAAAATCAACCATTTGTCTGGACTAAACAAATCAGGACCTAGGATCACACACTTTAGCACCATACATACATTCTGAAATGTCACAGCTCTATTCTCAGCTAGCATTCAAGTATTTAGTATCAATACTGGTGATTTCATTAATTGAACCAGGATATGAAAGCCATTAATTCTCTTCAATCAATGCTTAATATGCTAGATCCTTTTTAAATGGCAAGCTCGTAGCAAAGGTCACCCACCACTGCTGCAACACCTGTCTATGTTGATAAGAAGACTGAAATCTGGCCACTGCCACAAAGTTTTCAACACAGGCAGTGGAAGCAGCTTTTCGTGGTTCAAACAAACTGCTTTAAGGGCCTAATCCCCATGTCCTTGACAGTACTGAAAGGACTTCTGCTCATTTTAATGGGCTTTGGATCAGCTCCTAAGTCTCAGCTTCAAGTCCCAAGGATCTCATCCATCTAGCGCCTGAAAACCAGCGGAGGTTTTGCCTGGCTCCAACACTGAAATAAGGAGGGCTGTTTACTGAGCTGTACAGGAAAGTTGCGCTCCAAGAACGCGCCTCTGTTTCCTTGGGCTCCTGCTCCCTGAGCGGCGCGGCGGGGGCTTCCGCGGGGCAGGGAGTTTGGCAGCGCCCCGGGAAATCCACGGCTCCCCGCGTCCCCGCACGCCGCTGCCGAGCGGGCGGCATCCTCCTGCGTGGGACGGCTCCTGCGGGGCGGCGCGGGACCGGGCAGCGGGGCGAGAGCTGTGCCCCGCCGGCAGCGCTCCGCACGCACCTTGCCGATGTCACTAGGGGGGGCTGCGGATGAGGAAAGCCTCTACGAGCGGTCGAGATCGCCCGCAAAGCTTCCCCCGCCCGCCCCAGCCGCCCCTCGGGGAGCCCCGGGCGCTGGCCCGGAGCACCCAGCCCGCCACCGCCCTCTTGCCAGCCCCGACTCCTCCGGGGTGAGACGGGGCGCGGTGCCGCTGTCCCCGGACCCCAGGCAGCTTGCGGGCACGGAGCTCTCCGGTGTCGGTGGGGCTGCGAGGTGAGGGCCGGGCCGAGCCGAGCGCAGGGCAAGCCCCAAAAGCCGGATTCAGCCTCCCGGAATGACCCCTTAGTGCCCCATAGCGAAGGGGCGGCGGAGTCCGGCGGCGGCTCGACAGCTCCTGGCCCGGCTCGGGGGAGTTAGGAGCTTGAGAAACTACACCCGCGGACGGGCGGCCGCCTGACAGGGTTAAAGGCGGTGGAAAAACCATGCGATGAAACATAGAACAGACCCAGGGAGAAGGGCGTGCGGCCCTACTGTGGGGGTGCCCCACTCCGCGGCCGCGGGGAGCCCCGAGGGCAGCTGCTCGCCAAGCGCCGCCGCGCCTGGGCTGGGCCGTCGGGGCCGGGCGCTGCTGCGGGTGCGCTGCCGCTGTCCCGCCGGACACCTGGGGCTGGGGCTCTCCGGGAGCCCAGGCAGCCAGAAAGCCCTTTGGCCTTGGTGACAGCCCCCACGGGTGACTCTACAGGTTAGAGGAACGGGATTTAAACTCGATGGAAGCACAGGGCACTGTTAGGAGAAGGTGAAAGAACCAAACCGTTCCCCTACCTTAAAATCAGAATCGCGGGTGATTTGTTTTGTTTTTTTTTTTTTTAATTCCGGTGGTTTAGGGAAAATCTGTTCAAGATGAATTAAAACATGACTGATTTTTTTCAATGAAGCCATATTTCTCCACAATGCAAAAGGATCTTTACATAACAACTGAAACTCAGGAGAAAAGCTAATTGGATTAAGTCCTGTGAAAGGGAGGTTAAGGTGTCTGAATGAGACAACTGCAAAGCTCCACTTTTCTTGCCATCTGCTTAGCAAGACTAAAATGTTTTTTGATTAATATTATCTTAATCAATCATGCTGCCACTTATTACAACCTAACTGAAATTAGGAAACGAATAGTAGGGACGCTAAGCCCGAGAACAGACAATTCTTAAAGGAGGGACAGAAAATGCGGGGCTTTTTTTGTTAGGTTTGGGTTTTTTCTTTCCCTAAAGACCCGTTCCTCTCGACAACGAGATGTTGCCGGCAGTCCCCTTAACCCCGCCTCGGCAGTGCCGCCGGACAGCAGGAGAACTTTGTCTAACACTCTCTTAGCTCCTGAACACACTGTGACCCGAACTCAACGATTTCTTCCCCGCCGAACACACTCTCCCCGGAACAACCCGCCTGGGTTTTGTCCCGGGACCCAGCAGTAAATGTGGCCCAATTTTACCCGGCTGGTATCGCCGGTGGCCGGCGAGGGGCCGAGCCTACCCGGTGCATCGAGCGCCCCGCGCCGGGACCGCTGCAGGAACAGCCGAGCCGGGTCGGGCAACACCCCTCCCTTCTTTCTTTTTTCTCCTTGTTTTTAATCAATATTTAAATTTTTCAAAGCGCCCATCGGCCGCCTTGGGAACTAGGGATGAGAAAGACCTTCGCAGTTTTGTGGCGACACGGAGCGAAGCGGTTCCGAAGCGGGACTGCCTCTCCCTGTCGCCCCTTTCCCCGTCTCCACCCACACCAGCTTCACCGGCACAGCGCCGGCAACCCCGGAGGAGCCGGGACGGAGCGGCGAGGCCCCGAAGGAGCGGCGGAATGCTGCCCGCCGAGGCCGTCGGGGAGGCGCGGAGGGGACTCGATCCCTCTGCGGGGCTGGGGCAGCTCAGCTCCGCGGCCACCTCGCCGCCGGGCACGGCGGTCACAGCCGGCGCAGCGGCTGCCGGAGGGGACGGGGTAGATCAGGAGCGGGCGGCGGGAGGGCCATCCCCGGGCTGAGCCCTACCTAACTTGCGGGCTGTCCGCCTGGGGAACGCCTGGGCGGGCAGGCAGGGAGGGAAGGGGGAGAGAGGGGGTGTTCTCCTGTGCTAATAAAATAAATGAAATTTTCAGAGGTGACTGTGGCGGCCGCCCGCCCTCCTCGGCACGCGGAAGCCCGGGGGCTGCGCGCTCCGCTCAGAGCGCAGGGGCTGCGGCGGGTGGAAACCGCGGGAGCGCGGGCCGGGGGGCGGGAGGGAGCGGGAGGCTGCCGGCTGACAGCGGGAAGACCTAGGCCTGGGGCCTGCCCTACGTCCCCCGCCGCCGCCCCCGGGCCGGGCTAGGCTGGGCCGGGCGGCAGAGGCGGCCGTCGGATGGCGGAGCGCGGTCTCCGGCCCTCGGGGCGGGTGGCCTCGCCTCTGCGGCCGTCCCTGTCCCCTCCCGCCGGGGCTTCTTCCCACTGGCGGCGCCCGCTGGTGGTACTTCGGCCGCCGTTCTCCCGCCCGGTTACAGGACCGGCCGGGGCATCTTTTGGAGGTGCGGGGAGAGAGACCCAGCCCTGCCCTTCCCCAGAGTTCCTTCCCTCCGAATCGGCCCAGCCCCGACTTTGCCCGGGGGACAGGATGACCTAGGTGCTGGGTTTGCCCCAACCCACCAACCGTCTTCCCTAGTAAACCTAGTTTTCTCGCCCAAACTGTTTTCTCGCCTCATTGCTGCTCTAACCTAAGTGAGCTCCTAAAACTAGAAGCGGAGAAGTAATTAGTTTGCTGGCCGGCAGCCTATGATGAAAGGCGAAAAAAAAAAAAAAAAAAAAAAAAAAAAAAAAAACCCCCCCCCCCCCCCACCCTGCTCCGTCGTATCTGCAAGTGGAACCACAGGGCTCCTCCAGCCCGGGAGCGAGAGCTCCCCCTCTGCGGCCCCCGCACCCCGCTCCCCCGCACACGCCCGGGCTCATTTGCCTGCGAGGCCGGTGCGGCGGGCGGCTCCCCCCGCTGCCGCCCGCGCTGCCCCCGCCGCCACGGTCAAGTTGAAAAGTCCTCCCTGACGGGCGAAAGGAGCCCGCTGCCTGCGGGGAGGGCTTACCTGTGGAATCCATATCGGGTTCCTCCAGCAACCCGCAATGCATGCTCTTCCCATGGACGGGACGGGAGCCCCAAGGTCCCGGGGTGTGCAGAGCCCCTATCTCAGAGATGCGCGGGGGAGACGGAGCTGGGTGGCGGCGAGGGGGTGGGGAGAGAGGACAGAGGCAGATAGTTGGGGAGGGGGGGTGTAGAGCGGGAGAGAGGGACACTCCGTAATCCAGCGGGGCAAAGCCAGACCCGTCAAAATGTTTGCGGATGTTTCATGGGAAAAAGCATCATTTTATAGAAGCCCTGATGGGAGAAATGTCATTGATAGGCCAGCCAGCCTGATGAATGGCTGCTACTCAGATGGGGATGTGGCAAGGCTCAATGTGAAGCCCATTGTGATGCTGTTTTGAATAAGAAAAGCTTTCCTCCAAAAAGGGGGGCCTTAGATCTACGCAATCCCAACACTTCGACTTCCCTCTTCTATTAGAGCATTAGAAACGTTTTTCTTATTTAAAGTTCCAGCGGTCTTTCCACTCCTCCTTTCCCTCCCCCAACCCCCACCCAAGGTCCTTGGCTCATTACAGACCGAGATCAAAATTGGCTTAGATCTTCAAACGGGCAGTAGGTTTGGGGTTGTGCTCTTTGGGGCTGCCGGGTGTGCGTGCAGCGCGGCCGAGCTCCCCTCCTCCTCCTCCTCCTCCTCCTCCTCCTCCCGGTGGGCTCTGGGTTAGGAGCCTTCGCGGGCACATGGCATTGGAAGCTGCACAGCTTCCCAGATATCTTGTAAGCTTAGTTTATTAGAGGGGGAAAAAAAAAAAAAAGCCCCAACGATGTGTGTGGGTAGGAAAGGGGATGTGAGAATAAAGAGAAGTTGCCAGTATCTCTGCTGCAAGCGACGCTGGCACTGCAGACCTGCAGCAGGGACTCCCGTGCGTCTCCCCGGGCCTCAGGGAGAGGGAGCAAGGCGGGGTGGGGGCCGCTCGCCACCGGCTTGTCTGGCAGCGGAGAGCGGCTGACCCGGAGAGCTTTCCATGGGACCGAGCGGAAAGCAGGGGGGTGGGAGATCTCGATTGCCAAGAGAATTGAAGAACTAAACGGGTGCATTTTCGAACTGATGTTGCCTCCCAGCTTTAGTCCGAGGATGCGAGGATCCTTTTTCGGGTTTAGAGGACTGCGAGGGAGAGTGGGGAAGGACAGAGGTTGGAAAAAGTTGCTTATTCTGCATGCGGTTGTATGTGCTGGAAGTGGAAGTAAAAGTGCAAAGCTAGGGCTCTGATAAAAGTGGCTGGTTTAGGGAAGGAAAAGCTGTGATTAGAATATGAATAGAGCTCCAGGAGAGGAAGAGAAAGGGGGATTATAGCTGAATTACTTTGACCATGGACAGAGCCAACGTTTTCCACTCTTCTCCCCCTCTCCCCTCCCTACACCCAGACTACCCCCCTTCCCTCTCCCCGTCGGGGAAAAAAACCAACAAAACCACCAACTCCACACAGCAAAACAAGCGACGAAGTTGCTAAAGAGGAAGCTCCGCGGTGCCTTCGCATCCCCAAGCGGGCCGGCGGCGGGGGAGCCGGCGGGGCACCTCGGCCCGGGCGGGCACGGGGGCGGCCGCTGCGCACCCCCACAGGCCGAGTTTTGGCGTGGGGAGCCCCCACTGTGCACGAAGTAAAAATAATACCGGAGAGAGACAGTACAAAATCGAGTACGCAGCCGGCGGAGAAGCCCTCGCGGTGGCGGCAGGGACGCCGACCTGCTCTGCCCGCCGCGGGGATGTGTCTGGCGAGGCGGGAGCAAGGCCTGGGTGGCAGATGCTTCTCCCTCTGCCCTCTACCCCACCAAAAACAACTCCAACCCAACGCAAG